GGACAAAGCATATAGAGATCGATTGTCACGTGGTTCGACAATCCCTACAATCAAAGCTTATCAGCCTGAATCATCTGGATACAAAGAATCAAATTGCAGACCTTTTTACAAAAGGGCTCAGTAGATTCAGGCTTTAGTTCTTACTATCCAAGCTGAACATACACAGCATGTATATGTCATCTTGAGGGAAGCTATTACGGTATACTACAAAAGAACTGAAGAAGAGAAGCTTGGCTTTATACGAACCAAGGTGGACGCTTGTTGAGCTCGTGGCACGTCGCCATTTTATTCAAAAGCAACAGAGGGGCTGAGTCAAGATGGAGCCGTTTCACTTAAGCGTTCTCCCTTTTTCATTTATACTGTACATATATAGTTGTTGTCTTCTTATTGGTAGATAGTTTGATTTTCTGTTTGTTACAGTTAAATAGAATTTAGCAGTGTACAGTCAGCTTTAAGCTTGAGTATATAAATGCCCTTTGAGGCACCAGAATCCCTTTCGGGTTTCACCATATTCTTGTCTTCTTCATCATTTCACAGCCGCTGATTCAGAGCCAGATCTGGGATTCGCCGCTTGGGGGAACTTCAATTGAATTAGGGAATCGTGGGATTCGCCGATTCCTAACCAGATCAGGGATTCACCGCATGCTGATACTTGTTGTCGAATGTTATCTTTGTTTCTTCTCAAAAACAACTTCTTCTATCTTCGGTCCCGGAGCTTTTGGTGACCATAGTAGTTTCAACTAGAGGAACGATTAGCGCTGGATGCAATCAGTAGCAGCAGCACGTGAAGGTGAAAGATGAAGTAATTAATTGATTAGGGAATAAGAAAGGAGGTGTGTGGAGTTGAGAAGCAGGAGGTGGTGATGTACCTTGGCCTCCAATTATTATCTGAACTTCTATTTAACGCCCTAACTTTTTAAATTTTACGCCCTAAACTTACCGAAAGTGACGATTTTGCCCCAACCTATTCCTAATTCCTAGAAAATTGTGATCAGTTTTTTGCCCTAGTCAAGACTCGCTCTGTTGCTCCGTACTAATTCCGTTTTGCTACGTCTGCCACCGCCGCCACCTCCGGCCACCAAAACAAATCCTACGTTGTAGCTCAATTCTCCCCCATTCGGGTGGCGCACGCAACCCTACCCTTGGCCAGACGTGTGCATTACCTGCCTCTGTTGCTCGTCGGAGGGGAAGAATCCAGCCAACGATTCTTTTATCCTCCCCTCTTCTTCCTTATCGGGCGACAGCAGAGTTGGGCTCCCAGTGGACTTCAAAAGACGGCAGATTCGGCTCTCTTTTGATCTTCTTCCTTCTCCCGAAGGAGGTGCAACTCCAGCATAGATGGGGGAATCCTTCTTTATCCTCAAAGTCGGCAAAATCCGATGGCAGCAGCATCGTAGAGTGGCGGCAAATGTCGGGATGAGGTTAGATCGGAGTCAGAGGAGGGGTAGGGGTTAATTGAATGTAAAGGGCATAAGTGTAATTGTAATAGGTTTTAGGGCGACTGTTTTTGAACTCTAGGGCGTGAAGTAGTAACTTCCATTATTATTCGCTCTGCTCCCAAAGTGTCTCAAGTGAAGGAGCAACGGTATTTGTGGCGGTAACTGGTTGATAATCGTTAATCGGTTGACCAGTTAACCGATTAACCGGATTGCTACCAGTATCGGTAGTCGGCGACAGCTTGCCTCTAATCGATATACAGATAACCGGTAACCAACCGATTACCACTCGTAATGATGAGGACTTCTCATTCCTTATGCTCGCACAATAGCTTTCAAGTCTCATTTCTTCATAGCATTTTATTATATTAAATTTAATTAGGATTTTCGAATTGAATCCATGGATTGTACTTGTAGTTGTATGGCCATATTATCGATTATGAAGCAGCAATACTAACCATAACATATTTCTGCACTATTTTGAGTTTCTATTTGCTCTCTCGACCCGATCTCAATTTAGAATTTTGTTTCTACTATAAACTTGTATGGGATCCCCTCAACTCCATCTTAAATTCTCCGTAAAACCATTTTCTCAGTGTCAATCGTTCATTGAAATTTTGATTTCAAATTGTCCTGGCAAAACTTTTCCACAACTATTTGCTAGGGGTGGACAACGAGATGGGATCGGGTACTCGTTCTGTATGAAACGGGTACCCAATCTCATTTGGAAAGCAAAGTCCATTTCATGTTCCAAATTCTTATGGGTTAACGAGTACCCAAATTATCTGTATGGGTTAACGGGTACCCAAACTACCTGTATATACCCATTCAACATGAGAACAATTACAAAACTACACTTGGAAAAAAAATAACAAAATAAAACCTGGAAAAAAAAATGAAGAAGAGACTTGATAGTTGGTACACTAGGCACAAAACAAAATGACATCAGAATTAAGAGAAGTAGCTAAGGCTATTGTCCATCGGCTCCTCCTTACGTGAAAGGACATAAGATTTAAAAGAAGTAGCTAAAGCTACTTTCCATAATAACATTCGGCCATTGATTAATTGAACCCACATAACATGAAAATGATATATTGATGATGAAGCTAATCTCCTAAATCGTAATTGATATTATGGGTACTCATACTACTCAAACGGTTATTAGCGAAGAACCCGCAACCGTAGGTACCCAATGTTTAAATTTTTAATCGCAAACCCTATCTTTTTATAAATATTACGGGTATTTGGGTACCCATAACCCTAAAAAATGGAACGGGTTTGGACATACCCAAATACCCGTTTCTCGCTGCCTACCCCTACTATTTGCCCCTTGAAATGGCATATGTGTTGCCTCCTTTGGGCGACAATATCTAGACATGTCAATGGGTAGACCCATTGGGTTATTTGACTCAAATGCCATGACCCATATGGGTATTATGTCGGACCAAAATAGACTCATATGCATTTTTAATGATTTTGGTTTGGGTTGGTTTGAATTGGATCTTATTTGGGTTAATACACAAAAATTATATAAACTATTTCGTGAACTACTTTTAATCCAATTGTACACCTTTAATGTATGTGTTTTCTCCTTTCAATATTATTCATAGCAAAAAATAAGACAAAAATTGCATTATAATCTGATACCTGTTTTCATGTGGACTTACAATACTATGGGTTCAATTTAGACCCAAACTAAACAATTGGGTATGGATAATGCCCAAAAGGAAATTACCCAAACTTGATTTGACCAATAATAAGTTGGATTTGGGTAATACCCAAACTTGAAAGCCCATTTGCCATCCCCAGCAAGATCATGGTCCATAAAATCGTACCGAAAATGTCAGCGGTAGAATATTTTATAATAAAATCGTGGTTTAACTCTAGTTCAATCATTAGTACTATGAAATGCCGCCTACCGATTTAGCCTCTGATATAATATTTCGTGGTTAAACCGTCGGTACAGTACAGTTTCACGGACATGATATCACCACTAGGGATGGCAACAAAACCCGAACCCACGGGTACCCATCCTACCCAACCCGGTCAACGCGGGTAAAATCCGTGTTGACGGGTTTTGGGTCCGGTTTGGGTTTAAACTCATTCACTATTCACCGGGTTGGGTTTGGGTTTAGGTAAACCCGCCCCATGGGTACCCGCCCACCCATATAATTAATTTTCTCGGTATATTTAATATTCTAAACAACTAATCTTATTTATGTTTGTGGAGACATGTCTAATTTTTTCTTTCTAATCGTGTAGAATGAAGTTGATGTTATGGAGTGGAGAGTGAACAAACTTAATTGACAAGGAGAAAGAAGCTTTCAATTAATCATGTAATTTATGGATAATTTGTGATTTGCTTCAATTGTCTTGTGTTTTTTAGATTGATGTTGAATAATTTGAATAGTTAATTTGTGATTTGCTTGAATTTTCTAGAATGGTGTTTTATATGTGGATAATTTGTATTGAGAGATTGATATCTGACTTTAATTTTGATAGGAATTTGTTATTGTAAATCTTTTACGACAAAAACCCGTGGATACCCATGAACCCGCGGATACCTAGCGGGTTGGGTTGGGTTTGAAAAATTCAAACCCAGCTCAAATTTTTTTCACGAATAAACCCATGTGTTTGGGTTTGGCAAACCCGACCCAACCGATTGCCATTCCTAAGACTATCCACAATGGTGGAAGGGAAAAAAGGGAAAAAAGGATGGGAAAAGTGGGAAAAAAGGATGAGAGAAGGATAATGGCCACAATAGGTGGTAGGGAAAAAGGGGTATTGAGGAGGGATTTTTTTTTTCAAAATCAATCTAGAGTTTATATGGTAACTTTATTTTGATAATTTATTCATTATTTTTATATAGGTAGTATTAATTAATTAAGACGAACATTTTGATATAATTTTTTTTAAATTTGGACATAAAAAATTTTATCACTAAAATCTAATAACTCATAAAAATCCAATAAGAAAACCATAAAACAATTTTTAAAAACAAAAAACAAAAAAAAACCCACCCACATGGTCCCCCTTCCCTTCCTCCTCCCACCCACCTGGACCCACTTCACCTCCTTCTTTTAACATCTAGCGCAGGATAAATCCTCCCCTTCTTTCCCTTTTATTCTTTTTTTCCATAATACCCACCCCTATTATGAGCCATCTTCTCCTTTTTTCCCCTTTTATCCTCTTTTTCCCTTCTTGCTGTGGACAGTCTAATCACCACATCAAATCTCCTCTATAGGACGGACCACGCCTCCTCATTGGGCTTTATATAGGCCGTCTAGTTGGGCCCATATGGAGTTGTCCACATCGAACCCAAAGCGTAAACCATACGCAGAAGTGAGGTATTTGTCATTAGTCTATAATTAATTGTATATTTAATCATTTATTCCCTAGTCTTCGTTCAACGAACTTTTAAATTATTAGCAATTTCCCCAAAATGGCGGGTCCCGCATGGCACTCAAACGATCACAGCCGTCCATCCAGCGGACAATCATAATCACTCTCAACCGACGAAAAAATAGCCGAGCTTGAGCCCAGGCGGTCGCCTTTGTGGAGTCTATCTATAATCCAAAAATTCGTAGGGTTGGGAGAGGAAACCCATTTGTTGTATAAGAGAGTAGAGAGAGAAGGAAGAGAGAGATATAGAAGGAAGGAGAGGCGGTTCATTTGGTTTTTTCGTGTGGTCCAGAGAAAGGAAAAAAAGAGTCGCCTCTGCTCTATATAGGAAAAAAATATCTCCTCAATCTCTCTCTATCTCCTCCTCCGCCTTGTGTCCGCTTCCCTTTTCCTCCCGATCCCCGATTCATCAAGCTTCCACCCCCTTTCTCAGGTCGGTAATCGGGAGAATCCAGGCTCCCCCCTTCGCTTCTTGTTGTGGTTCGTGAATTGTCTTTCTTTCTCGCAATTGTTCTTGTTTTGATCGGAAAGGCTCCACCTTTATTTAGATTTCCGGAGCTTTTTTCCTTTTTGCCTCGGATTTCTTTTACGGGTCGTTTTGGGTCGGATCCTCTTTTGGTTCTTTCGATGCGTGCTGGATTTTAGGGTTTGTGCTGTGTAATGGGTTTTTTTTTTTGTTGCGATTGGAACTGAGGGCGCTTCTGAGTTGTTCGTTTGTGTTTCATTCCGGTGAGATTTAATCTTGCGGACTCTTGGTGCATGTTATCTGTTATTGTTTGCCGGTGTTGTGGATGGACCCATCCGCTATGTACGTGCAATAGCTGATAGTGTGCGAGCAATGAGGGAACTTTTTTGTGGGTGGGTTGTTTGGATGAATGTCATTGGTTGTAGATAGTAAGCTGATCTGATCTTTGAAAGTGTGGTTGGGATAATTATGATATCGGTGAATTGTGTATAGTTTCGTATTTTTTGGGATTTGGTCTACTCTAATGCCGCAGTTCTCTGACTATAGGGCTTCTCGTGTTTTGTGGTTTGATTCCAGCATTTGAAGACTAACGCTGCACAAGAGCATTGTAGTGGTTCTGTTCTACTAATTCAATCCAAGGTTCATGTCTGAGTTTGACAATCAGATTCCATCTGCATATGGTATGTTCCCTATCTCCAGTCACTATATTTGTCTGTGCCTTTTGAGTTTTGCTTATCTTGGTCATTGTTGTGCAGACCCTTTTGCTGATGCAAATGCTGAGGACTCCGGCGCGGGTACAAAAGAGTACGTTCATGTGCGCATCCAGCAGCGAAATGGGAGAAAAAGCCTGACTACTGTGCAAGGGTTGAAGAAAGAGTTCAGCTACAACAAGATACTCAAGGACTTGAAGAAGGAGTTCTGCTGTAATGGTACAGTTGTCCAGGACCCTGAGTTAGGCCAGGTTTGTATAGAAACCATCCCTCCCTCCCTCTTGATGGAGTTCATTTTCATGTCCTATCCCAGTTTGTTGTCTGACTGAAATTTTTGGACTTTGTGCGTGTATTGCAGGTCATTCAGCTTCAGGGCGATCAGAGGAAGAACGTCTCCACATTCCTTGTGCAGGTACTAGCAATTCCCAATCCTTGTACTAATTCTTCAATCGATCAATTCCTTGTTTATCATTAGCTTATGGTGTTTTTTTGGTGGGAGTAGGCTGGGATTGTGAAGAAGGAGAACATCAAGATCCATGGTTTCTAGAAGTTGCAAGATCAGCGAGATCTTGTTATCTACCTAATAGACTTTCAAGTTGTTTAGAAAGAAAAAGGGTGAAGAGATCTCACATATGCATGTGAGTTGAGGTGGGATTGAAAGGTTGGGGATAATAGTATCCAGAATTTGTTGCTTTCTAAGTTTGCGCTGTGTTGCTGTCTTGGATCATCAGCAAACTGAAAACCAGTTTTTAGTTGGGGTGGTGTTTTATGTGTCTTCAGACTTGCTGGATGCTGTATGGAGTGCCGTCATTGCTTAATGATTGGTTCTCGGAATAAAATATGTTGGTCTCGTAACCCCTGCGTAGTTTTATCTATAATGCTGTATCGGTTGGTCGATGTGGTTTGGTCATGCTTTTAACCCGGTGTTAGCATCAACCTCCCTGTTTTGATGTTTGAATCACGTGTGATGGCTAGGGCTAGTTGTCAAATGCTTTTCACCGACTAAAGATTTCTCTCTATATCACTGGTTTTCTGCTCACTAGGATGTTAGACTTGAGGTGTGTGAACTATCCAATGGACATGCATTAACTTAGGTCCTCCAACTCCGACAAGATGAGCACGGTAACATAGCCACCATGTAGAGTTCAGTTTATCCTACTTTCTGTTTCAGTACCGACTAATTTGGTGCCTAATGGTTGTTTCTAGAACTGGGAGTGTTTTAGATTTGCTCGATTCTTCACTTCGATTTGCGAGCGGATCTCTTTCTAAAAGAAGGCAGTTGTTTGCTTAACCAGGCTCTCTTGGGATGGACACAAGGAAGGCAACCCTGAGAATATTAGACTGCTCGTCTGTAGACTGTAGTGGAAGGGCCATTTTGGCTGTGGATTGAATTTAGTACCATAGAATCTTTGTGCTGTGGCTCAGTGATCAGCGCTGAGAACGTCGGTAGCTGGCGATCCTCTTGACAGTGGGTGCGAGATGCAGGCCGGCAGGTCATAGGGTTACTGTTGAAGTGTTGTCGAGGTTAGGTCAGTTTGTGTTATCAGATGATGCCTTGCCTTGGAACGGCTTGTTCGAAACGGAGGATGGTCTGTGAAAGTGGGACTGGACTGGGTAGCGAGTAGTGGAACGGCCGTAGGTTCTTCAACCAATGTTGAACTGATGATGGCCGAATGCCCAAATGTGGGAGGTGCTTATTGGCTGACACCTCCATCTTATTGCACTGAGTGACACTTTCTCCGAGTGTGATAGACGTCGTTTGACCTTTGCTCTTTGCAGTTTGCCCTCTCAAAATGGCAATAGATGGACGATTTCACTGAAATGCCTAAACGGAGTGCCCTCTCACGCAATGTAGTCAAAATCGCGCTTTAAAACTTAAAAACTTACGGTTTTACGCTTTTAGGTCACCAAAACGTTTTCATTTCTACATAAAAACTTTAGTGTATATAATCAGACTAAATTGTGCTTTAAAACTTAAAAACTTACACTTCTTTTTAGTTCACCAAAACGCTTTATGTTTTTACGCTTTTACTCACTGAATGGGTAATCTTTTCATGAAATTAATTATAAAAAGTATATTTTGAAAATAAATCACCGATAATATGATACGTTTAAGATTAAAAGATACATACTAGATACTTTGATGCATTCTAAACTTCAATAAAGTAATCTAATTCATCGTCTAAGCTCTTCTTAAATTCATTAGCATGGAGGGGAATGTGGCTTCTTGATAAGATTTATGTTTATGAACTTATTATTAAGAGGCTATAAGTTGCTCTACTTTAGACATGAATTGCAAGTATTTATTAACTTATCTAAATTTGTGCACTCATATTTTTCATAGTATATGTCGTACTTAATATATTTTTAGTTCTTTTACAGTATGCGTAAAAAAACTTACGCTTTTACACTTTAATTCTACGTTTTACGATTTTATCACTTTTCCGCTTCTAATTAAAATCGCGCTTTTGACTGCATTGCTAGTCTCACGTCTCCCTCTCTGAAACGCTGAGCTCTTTCTTTCATTAGCCGTTTTCCTTGCTGTCTTTGAGGTGCGCCATCTGTCAGCCACCATACTTCTTCCTTCGCGCTTCAGTTAAAAGGTTTTGCTAATTTGATATGGAAAGCGTCTGCCACTCCTCTTCCGACCATCGTTAGAACTTAGAATCTAGAGTTGCAGCCCTTCTGAACAGTGAACAACACTCGGCATGTCCCTATACAAAATCAAGGACCTATGCCTGAATATTAAGGCACATCACGCCGCATCCATTGTTCCCAGCTACCAAAATTATTGCTCCAAGCTCGTCACAAGTACATGCATACATGAACGTAACTAGGTGACAGTACATTATGATCAAAGAGTTGTGACTTGTGACACTAACTATTTCCAAGAAAATAGTACATGCTGTGAGCTGTGGAGCTTCACAATCAATGAACATAATACACTAAACCAAAAGCGCTGCGAATAGGGATCTTGGATATCTGAATGGTCGTAAGTCTCCTAGAAAACATCATACGACACTATAAAACTGTTTTAGAAGATTTCATAATGATACTCGAATCTGCGTTGCTCACAATAACTGTTAAAAGATGAGAACTACCACAGAATTGTCAAGTTCAGCGCGGAGAAAAGAGGGAGGTAACAACCATGGACAGAATTAGAGCGAATCTGAAGAAAAGCAAAACAAAAAATGCTCCCAAAGCTCCACGGTCTTAAGCATGGGTTTCTTCTGCCGCTGCAGCTTCAAATGTCTCTCCTGCTACAAGTTCTGGGACATCATCATCATCTTCCTGAACAACTGTGGCACCACCTGGGGCCTCCTTTTGGAACTGCTCAGCCAACTTCTTCAGGTTGTCCAAGTTATCTGGCCCTGAGATGTCGGAAAACAATAGCATCAACAGCAAGCAAAATGCAACTCTAGTTTCCAGCAAGACCGAGAATGGAAAGAACAAGTTCAAGCATGATATTTCGCAGCAGTAGATAAGGTGACACTAGGTTGACAGCTCCAAAAGAGTTTAGCTACATGAGTGAAAACACAGTATCAAGAAATTAGCATGCACAAGTCACCGTATATGATGGGTAAAATCAGACCAGAAGCTGTAGAAAAAACAAAACAGCAAAAGCACCAGAGACTTCTGGGGCCGTTAACAAGCCAGGTTAAACAAAGCTCGAAAATACGTTGAACTTCAAGGACTTCCATAGAAACACAAAACCTTCATTATCAAATGCCAAGGTGAGGTAGAATATCAATTATGCTATTTTCCTTCAACCTTTGGAACCTCGGCAGAAACCATCAACATGTTCATGTCAATTGCACAAACACCACATTTGATTTACCAATGAATAGATATAAAAGTTGGTTCTAGAGGCACTCCTCGATAAGAACGACACAACAGAACATGGGTTCATAATCAAAACACAGGCTCAGAAAGTATGAATGATAGTCCCTACAACTAAATCCAACTTCGTTTATAACACATATTCGACATTCAAACCGACTGCAAAGACACTTACCAAGCTGGTTGATAATCCCTGGAAGAATATCTTGCAGTTCTGCAATATTACAAGGTTAAATTTATATCAGCCAAAAACCACACAGCAAACAGAGCATCATTGGACTCCCGGAAAACATAAAATAATTACAGGAAAGAGAGGGAGATTACTTCTGGTTTGAGGAGAACCAGTAATGACCCAAGTGTTAGCAACAATGGAAGCTTGCACCTTAGGGTTAACAAACTGAATGACCAAATCATCCTTGAAGATGTTGACTTCCTCAATAGCCGGTATGGTGTTGACACCTATCCTCTTCAGAGTGCTCTGAAGCTTCTTGTCGTCTGTGGTGGTGGATTTGTGCACTGCCTTCTTCTTTCTACAAGGACCAAAAAGAATGAACAAATGAAACAAAACCCTAAATCACCCAAATCTAATCAAAACAAAATTAAACCCATCAGAGAAAACCCCTATTCCACCCACCTGCGCACGGTTCCTTTTCCGCCGGTGCGGACAGAACCGGCCATCTTCATAAGCTTCTCCCGATTCATCTGCGAAGTAAAACAAGAAAGAAAGATCATCCATTGGTGAGAACAAAAACATCCGCCGGCATAAGGGAAACAGATTAAACGAAAAACGGGAATAGGAAGAAACCCTGACTCCGGGATTGATTAGGGTTTTGGGTTTCAACCTTGTTTATGAGATTTGGTTTGGTGGATTCGTCGACAGAGGAGGGAGAGCGGCGGAAGCAGGGAGAGAGTGATGCTCGACCTGTTAGGACTCGAGGGTTTCTTATCGTTTAAAAACCTAAGGTTTGGAATTGGAGGGATTTACCGTTCTGTCCCTTTCATTTATATGTATTTTCCCTATTGCTTTCTTATTTATTTATTTATCTAAATAAATAGATTGAACTTAAGTACTTAACCCTAATTTTCATTCAAAACCACTCAGACTCGAAAATTTATCGAACAATTGTTGCCGGTTGCAAAGAGTAGGGTCTGAATAGAGAACAAATGTAATCTCAAAGATACATCATGGCTTTGCCTGGCAAAAAAATCAGCACACTTAATACCTTCTCTATAAATATGGGTAACATGGACGACTCATTGTCTATGCAGCAGCTCTTTAGCTCTCTCAATCATGGTTGCATGCGAATGCTCCGCAGAGCTAGAACTCAACAACAGCTAAGAGGAACAAGCTTAGTCTAGCTCCAAAATAACGTAGTGAAACACAACATCCCAAGCTATCTAAAGCCCCTCCACAGCTCCCCTCAACTCCGCCCGAGCGATAGAGCAAATCCCCATGTTCATCATGAACACTGCTAAACAGTGCCCTAAGTGATATGGAAGCAGGCCATCAGCTACGACATGACCTGCATGATTGCGAACGGAGCCATCGGTGTTGAGGGTGACCCACTCGGGAAGTGATGACTTACAAGAGATCTCCACCTCCGTTCTCGCAGGAGGACTAGGATGATGAATTAGTCTATCCTTGTCGGGATGAGTTAGGATGGTTACAAATTTTTTATTAACCATCGTGGCTACCTACACCTATACCATTCATTTTCAATATTTTTCAACTAACCGCTAGGATTGATTAGGGATAATTTTGGAAAAATAATAATAACTATACCAAATTAATATCCTTTAAATGACTTTCTATATATTATTCCAAACCCTAAATAATTATTCTAACCCTAATAGCAGTCAACCCCTTCCTCCATCTCCCTCTCTGACAACTCACCGTCATCCTGCCTCCAACTTCCTTCCTCCCTCTCCCTCTCCGGCGACTCCCCGCCAGCCCGCCCACCATATTCCCTCGTCCCCTCCCCACCGCAACCCGCCACCTCCCCTCCCCACCTCTCTTCCCACCGCAACCCGCCAGCATGCTTGCGCCGACCGACCTTCCGCCCGCTAGCTTGCGCCGGCCATCCTCCTCCTCCCTCTCTCCGACCCTCCTGGTCCCCCCACTATCTATCTCCCCTTCTGTTCTTCTTCTGCAGGTCTCGATTTTGATTTGTTGTTGGGCCGCTACGGCGCCAACAGGGAGGAGGTTGAGGTTCAATTTCTTTCCAATAGGTTTGTGGCATACGGAGATGCGAGGGTGGGAATTAGTATGTATTTTTTCGGGATTGGTATCTATTTTTGGTTTAGTATTGTTTTGTTTTGTATTGCTACTTTTTGTATTGGTATTGATTATTATAGCAAAGGTATTGTTTTTGTCGCAATGGTGTTGGTGTTTTGTGAAATGGTAGTGTTTTTATTTCTCGAATGGTATTGGTGTTTTGTGCAATAGTAGTGTTTTACTAAGTGGTAGTGGTTGTCTAATGGATTGGTATTGATTTCTTGTTTTTTTTGTTATAATGATATTGGTGTTTTTCGAAGTGGTAGTGAATAGTGATTGCCTAATGGATTGATAGTTTTTTTTTTTTTTGCAGAAAGATTGAGACAATTAAGAAAATGAGATCTGGTTGGAGATTACAGAAGTGAGAGAAAGAGAGAGAATTGTAATTAAAAGATTTTTGTAATTGCCCAAAATATAATTTATTAAAAAATTAATTAACGCAATTTATTTTTTTCCATTCCCAATTTACCCTTAGTAACCATTTGTAGTAATCACCATAACCTCTCCCATCCTTGTCCAAGGCATCTCTCATGAAAGTTATCCAAGCTTGGACGCGCGGTAGAAAAGCTTAAGAAGTTATGATTTTGCCTGCAATGACTCAATTGTTCCTGTTCTTTCATAGAGACCAGCAGCTAACGCCAAACTCAAGGCCAGTGTGTTTCCGTTGAAGGTTCCCGGTGATCCAATCCTGAACAGTAGCTCCAAAAAATGGTGGTAGTCAGAAGGAGGGATAAGTTGCAACCAAGTTAACCGGCAAAGAGTACAGTCCTACTACAGATGCATTACTAGCTTCCAGTCCCCACACAGGATAGTCCTCCTTAGTGTCGTTGTCAGCTGAGTTTGGAAGTGCCGGTCCCATCTTCAACAAGTGTCCGTGGATGGAGTTAACAAGCACTTGGTGGTGTCGCTATTGGTATGGAACGAGAGAATTAACAATCAACGCGTCGTAGATTAAAGGATAAGCAGGGAAATCAGAGATCTGGTCGATGGAAGGCCCTGTGAAACTGTGGACATCGGTCAAAGATGAGATCTGGGATGTTGGCGTTCCGAATGAGGCTATGGAGGATGGAGAAGTTGAGTGGGCAGGATTCTATGGTGCCATTCTGGGCTACGGTGACAGTGAGGTGAGGAGTGTCACTGTGTCAGGAATACACCTCTGAAAATCGCTGGTGCATCCATCTCAGGCGCATCGCCAACAACGACAGGTGGGTAAAAATATTTTTATTTTTTCAATTAAATTTTAAAAATATTATTTCCTGACATGTCGATGATATGGACACACGTTGCCACGAAGTCAACAAAATATTGACCACCATTTGGTTGTCCGATAAGTCTAACACTCAACGAAGCGATGGAGGACATTTTTATATTAACATGGAGACTCTAAACTTTATGGCATAACTGACGCAAGAAAAAAATAGTGGTACAAGTGACAGAAAGTCTAAACTATAGGCCATTTTCTGGTATTTGGCCTAAATTCTAATAGACATAAGGATAAACAAAACAAAAAAAAAGGAGGATAATAGTATACTATGTTAGGGATACATAATCAACTCCATTCGGACTGCCTGAATGATTTGTACTCACAAATGCCCAACACAAAAGAGATCTATGCATCATTGGATAAACAAATATGAATATGAAAACCAATGCCCAAATAAGTTTGTCACTTTTCAATTCTCCTAGTTTTCTATTACTGGTAATCCCTCAATCCTATATGAAGTTCATGAATTTATCGTCTTGGCCTTAAGGTCCATGTGTTAAATATTACTCTTCCTATTCCATTTGTTATAGGGTTGATATACACTTGAAAAGTGATGTTTTTCATATTAAATTCTTAGTTAAATCCATTGTTTTTGATTGCCATCTTTAGGTGTTTTTACTATGAATTTGCTAAGTATTTGCCCAATGTGTGTTTTATAGCCTTTAATACTTGTATGGTTTTGATGCCCATTTGGGTGGTTTTTTGTGGTTTTCAGATCAAGCACACCAAAGGAGTATGTGTTTATTCAACCATGATAAATGAAGAAAACCAGAGATTCAGGTGCAAGAATACGAACATGAACACTAGAAGTCGGTTTGGGAGGATAAAAACCTGAGGAGCCTATAGATACCACATGAAAATAAGTTTCCACACCTTTTACCCACTTTTACATTGGGAGAGGGGTTAGGAGCTCAGTTTTCCCCTTAAATTGAGTTTAGAAGCAAAAGGAGGAAGAAGAAATTCCACAACCGCCTGGGGCAGCAGTCATCCTCTAAGGTCATTCCCACCATGGTGATCGTCTCTTTACTTGTGGTTATATTTCTTTTCATTCCTATGTCTAGCTAAACACTCTTATTTTTTATGCAGTTGATCCTATATAGTAATTCAAGACTATTTACTATGATTTAATTACAATACATTGACGATTTTCTTCATGTTATTTGTTTTTATTGCTTGCTTCAATGATTTCACGTGTTTGATGGAAACCTACATGGTTATTTCGATTTGTATATTGGTTTGATGTGAAACTAGGCTCGCATGAATGTCAGTTATGATGATTATTTTATTGCGAGGGGAAAATGTGCCTAGGATAGTTCTTAGATCACTAAGTTAAAAAAATCTGCTTGAATCCTATGATCTTGCATGCTATCAATGAAATATGTGTATAAAACTGATGTAAGGCAGTCGAGAAATAAATCTTAGGCTTATTTTATATTTCTGTTGCAATCGAAAAATTATGCATAGGAATATGTTAGAGAAATTGAGATGGACCGAATTCATGAATAAATCTTTACTTAATTATATGATTTGATTAGTTTGTGTTTGGTTATCTTTAGAAACAACTGGTTTTACATTATTTCTTTTGAAGTATTTTAATTTTCATTTCTAATTCTTTGAAATTTTCCTTTTTAGTCTTTTGATTGCTGTCTATTTTGCCTTTAAATTTTGGTTCTAGCACTTTAATTTTTGGTCTTTTATTTGATTTTTGTTATTCAAAATTAGGGACACCTCAACCCCACTGGATTTTCAAAATCATAAGCATTCAGTTCAAAGTAGTGAAGAAATAAAGGGCCCTATGGAATACAATCCTAGACATTCTAGGTTTTATTTTTAATTTGTCACTACAACCGAGTCAGGGGACAATGATTGCAAAGTTACCTCCATCAAGAACAAGGTGGTTGCAAGTGTGAATATGATCTAGGATTGCCAACGACTAGAGTTATAACCAATAATGATGTGTGGTATGATGATTATAGAGCAACTACTCACATGTACAACAATAGAGCCTCGTTCAAGGACTACACCAAATCTGTAGATGAACATGAAGTTTTGTAGGGTGATTATATCAAACTTCAAATGTCCATTGATCAAGAACCATGGAGAATTGTTTTCACGAATGTATTGCATGTCCCTGGTATTAGGAAGAAGTTATTTTCTGGTTTCATGTTTTGTAAGAAGGGGATAAAGGTAATGATAGAATTTGATAGGGTGTTTATGAGGATGATTTGTTCGTTGGGAAATGATATATGTGTGATGGGATGTCCAAATTAAGTATCAATATTTTTTTATAGTTAATGGCTCTACTTATATCTACACGTATGCTAATTATATCATATAAAGTATTTCTTTTGATTTATGACATAATAAAATAGCATATATTAACTACAAATCTAAAAAATATGTCTATAAATGAACTTAAATGCAACAAAAACAATAAAAATAAAAATGAAATTTTTGTGCAAGCCAAGATGAAAAGAAA